TAGAATGTTTTTAGCAGGCAATAGCGCATTCAAATGTCTCGTACTATAATACTGCAATTTTGTTGCCATCCGTGTCCTCAAATTCTTATCTAAACTAATGTTAACGAAAGAGTTGACTCGGCGAACGGTGATCAAAATGCTACTGCTCAGCGATCGGTGATCAAAAAGAGGGCTTCCGCTTGCGGGTACGCCTACAATTAATTTCCTATCGCGCGGCGCCTGGGGAAATTCTCAGTGGGGGGCTGCTTCCCTCTCTCAACCCTTCACCAAGGAAAACATTGCTTGCTAGTTTGCCTTCGTTGTAGTACGGGCAACGGATACCAGGCCTCGCGTTTTACGAACCTCTGTTTTCTGCGCCTGTTATCCTCGCGCCGGCTCCGTAGTGTTCACACATATGAGACGGTGTGTTATGAGGTTGCACAATCCATAACGCCACAATATTAAGAACTTGAAATTAATTAAAAATTACCTACACATAATATAGCATAGCATAATTTAACATAGTATAGCGAAAGGTATATACTGGCTGACTCTAATTCCTTTTCTTTAAATTTCTTTTAAGATAGATTAAAATAGGTAAAGATGGCATAGGTCCAATTTTCACAGTTAACACGGAATTATCGAAAATTTCAAATGTTTGAATTTTTGCAGTCTTTCTAACAACTGCCAAATTAAAGATAAATTTCCCCTGGAAACAAATATTTGGTCCAGTATTTATTTTCCATTAAGTTCATGTACATGTTTTGAACATTTTTACTATTTTCGCGCAATATTGGTGCAATTTTGTGCAATTAAAAATAATATTACAAAAACAAGAATTTTTCAAAACCGGCTCCCATATTTTTTCTTTAAATTTTGGTAGGATTATATTTAAATGCGCTCCATAAGATGGCATAATTACCATATTGCTTTATTATTTACACTAGCAACATTTTTTCACTTTTGTATATAATGAATAATATGTTTTAAATAGTGTCATATAAAGTTTCTCGAAACTCAACTGTTTTCTATGAAAACTAACTCAAAATTTTCAGAAACGATCAAGCCCCATTTTCTTAAAAAAGTTCGCTCCATATTTTTTTTTCGAACTTTCATACGGATAGTACTAATTGCACTCTTTAATATGATGTTAAGTTCATTTCGGGATATTTTTTCCGAAAATTATACAAATGCAATTTTTTTGAAAGATTTCTCACGCTGTTTATATGATCAATTTCCCGCAATTTTGTAAATACTATTATTATATGAATGAGTTAAAATGACTTCTAATGAAGTCAACCAAACTCAAACGTTTTCTGAAAAACTGTCTCAATTTTTTAAATTTTACAATGTTCTTAAAAACGGCTCCGAAACAATAAAAAAAAAAAAGCCATTTTAGGTACGATGTTTTAGCTTGTTATTTGTATATTCTTTAAAAGAGGATTTGCTGGTCTACTACTAGAAAACGAAAATTCAAGAAAGTTTTATAAAATAAGTTATTCGGTTGCTGACGATAACGGTAATTCTCAGGAATATGTATTAGTATCAATATTTGTATAGTTAGCCGAGACCAAAGGAAATAGAAAACTTATACGGGGAAGACTGTGCCATTCTATTAGTTTGTGCCATATATTAGTTTTAATATGATAAAAGTGCAATGTTTTATTTATTTTTAAATATCCACAAATTTCTTACAATAAATACATTAAAAAATGAAAGAGTAAAATATATTAATTACGGTTAAAGTGCTGAAAGTGCCTCTTCTTCCGTGAAAATTACGAACATTTTTGTAACCTGTCTTAATCAACATTCTGAATTTTTTTCAAACGGTCGTTACGGGGACGAAATTTCGCAGCCACAACCGATATAAACCGAAAAGAAAACAATATCATTAATAACAAATGTGATATGTCACTCCTACCTGCAACTGCCTAATACAGCCAAAAACTTAGTAATTCACTGGCTGGGAACTCGCATATGCGCTCAGCTGAGGTTGCAACCCAACATCTTCCCGCCAAACAATGGACGGTCATTTTGGAGATCGCTTTGAGTAAAATTTTCAAAATAAATCCTCAAGTTTTGCCAACCCTCGTTTAATTTTCAACTCGGAAAATATTTTCCCCCAAAACAACACAATGTCGCTACGCTCAGCAGAAACAAAGACATTAATAAGTTGGCGTTGCGGGAAATGTAGAAATAAGACTTCCTTTTACTTCAAACGTAGCGAATTGACTTGATCAGCTGTTAACGCAGTTATCGGAAATTAAGTTGTAATGTAGCTCCTGATTGAATATTCTTTTGTTCTTATTTTTGCGGCTAGTTTTAATCGGAGCTTATGCTTATTTAGTATTACATGAGCTACTTAGGTAGTTCATGTAATACTAAATGCATGAAGGCAATATAGATGTATTCTCATGGTGAGAATATAAAATATCAGATCCAAAATTACTATATTATTCTGTAGTGAGAGTTTCGCCGGTTCGATATGGAGTCCATAAGCTATAGTTCTATAAAATAGTTCATCTAGCAGCAAAACGTGTTTTCTAGAGAACACCAATAACACTTACGGAACCTATATAAGGCTCTCTATAACTTTAGGTCCTGAAACGGGTTAAAATGCTTATAGATTCAACAAATAAGGCAACGTGGGCAGCCTCTGCGCACTGCTTACAACTTGTTATTGTTTTGTTTGAGGTTATTGGCGGTACCTGGCGTCCGTGTGTTTGTGTGTGGTGCTTTTACGAATTTATTTGGTGTGTTATGTGCGTTTTAGGGTGTATTTGTATGTGTTGAATATCAGTGAATTATATACTCATAAATTATTTTTCCATATATTGTGAGAGGATTAAATTAGAGTTATGAAAATATGTTAACTTTTGCTGTAAAATTTTGGCTTTTTCCTTTTTTCAATTCTTATTCACCAAGCACCAATATCAATCAACTTCCATCCAATGCTTACGTGTGGCATTCAACCCCTTTTGAAAACACACCTTCGACATGATAGAATAAAGCCAGGTTGTTGTAATGTAACTGGTGAATAACATGCAGTGGCAATGAATGTAACAATAGTTTTGGTTACAATTATGCTAAATTCAAAGATTGTAAAATAATAGTTCAGCCACACTAACCTTTGTAGAATAAATCAGTGATTCAATTTGCAATAAATAATATTGAAACTTGTTTGGTCATAAAAGAAATTTTTCAGTTTGTGGAAAACCGTCGAAACTGTTGTAGATTGCGCAGAAATCATTACCCCGTTTTGACCGCCAAGTTTCCCTACCCTGCAAAAACATCTCAAGTAAACGCAACACACGCTAAGAATGTGCAAAACGCTGTAAGGAATAAGTAGTGTTCAAATATCGACTGTGTCGCTATCTAGTGGTTGCATCTTTAAGTTCGTGTAGAATCTATAGTTATAGATTCCCTAAATTTGCTTTATGCAACGGTGCACGGCCTATGGAACCCATATGGAAAGCTTTATGCAACCGGCCCGTAGTATATCTAAAAAATATAAAAATACGCTAAAAACGTATGGAGGTGGTAATGCTTATACCGTGGTTCAACTCAATGATATTTGCGCACGTTTCCTTGAGTCCTCACTTCGCTAGTTGTGAGAGGAGTGGGGAGTATGTTTTTGGTCAAAAAAGGAATTTTACATCGAATTTGTTGTTCATTTTTCGAAGCAAAATAGTTTCTATTATTATACGCGCACGTTTTCTTGAGCTCCGGAATACCAATCCCCACTGCTTTGCCAACATTAGTTGAATTAAGAATAAATGACAGCAACAAGCTTTGTAGGGCAAAATCTGATTACCAGAAATATTCGCTCTCTTGTAATAGAAACTATTTAGCATCGAAAAACGAACTACAAATTTGACACAAAATTCCTTTCGTCAAAATAACCCAACTTCCCACTCCTCTCGCAACTAGCGAAGCGAGGGCTCAAGAAAATGTGCGCGGATAATACACGGAAGCGAACATTTCTGTTTATCAGATTTTGCCTACAACGCTCGTTGATATAATTTATTTTTAATTCAACTAATGTTGGCAACGGAGTGGGGGTTAGTATTCCGGAACTCAAGAAAACGTGCGCGAATAATATTTACATACATACATACATACTCACTGGTTCAACTAATATCAATTTTCAAAGTGCGTGTATCAAGTGTAAATAGAACCTAGTGTGAATATGCGTGTGAATGGGAAAAAGATCAAAGAAAACTAAAACAAATAAGCATGTAGTAAAATACAAAGTCTTGTGCTAATCTTAGGTTGCCGGCCAAAGTGCCGGCTTCATCCATAGGCTAAGTTAGAAATAAGTTAGTAAGTAAGCACTGTCCCCTCTTTGCCGCATAAGCCGAAGAGCTGCGACGTATGTACCCCCAACTCGAAAAGAAATTCCCGCCTCGCCAGGGCTACTGGCGGGGGGAAAGTTGTTCAACTAATAAAGAACGGCGTCATGCGCCGAGCAAGAGTTGGCTTCAAAGAGTACTTTAGTACTTTGTACTCGTTCTGGGCACAAGCTCAGGCTCCAACGAATAACATGACCCTGTGCCCCTGATCTTTGTTTACGTATCTTTACTCTTATTACGTACTTAACTCTTTGCTCGTGATCTACCGGTGACCGTCCCATGTGGCCGGCCAGGGCCCGGCAACTTTCTATCAAAATTGGGGACAAAGCTCGAGGTTGCTACTATAGGAAGCGTTAGTGTCGCCGGGTGCAGCTGCAGGTTAGGCTCGCCAACATTCCCACATACAAATTGGCTAATTTGTGAGAAATACGAAAAGTGTCTTCTAAATGTACAATTATTCATAATGTCTACTTGTAAGAAACCTCTGAAGAAAGCGCGAACGTAGACGTTATCTTTTGTAACATTATGATCCTGCTTGCGACCCGCGAACTCACGCAGCAGTCACGCACGTTAAAAGTATCGTTGGCAGCAGTTTCTGTTTTAGTTCCTGTGAAGAAGGTGATGCAGCAGAGCGCGCCACCATAATGGTTTCCACCACGTTGTATGGGAGTTATAGGGCCCTGTGGCCGGCATTGTAGAATGCGCGGCAAAATTTTTATCAAACACGTATTCCGGGCAAATGGATTGTGTTCTACGATGTGTGCGTAATAAGTTGCCTTCTCCCCCAAAAGAGGAATATGTTTTTTAGTGATCGGTGAAGGTTTGTATTGTGAAATATTGTTTAATGGTGTGGTTTTAATAGATACATGTTTAATTCGTAGTCAAACATGTAAACTGAATTCGTGTAATTCAGACAATATTTTTACTTTCTCGTTTATTTCGGAAACATATTAAGCTAATTTAGAGACTTACTGAGCTGGTGTTTGAAGTAGAGTAATAACGGCTTAAAAATCGGTATGTGTCTTCGAGGTTTTTGCTTTTACGATTCTTGCAGAAATCTTGGTAGTGTATTATAATGTTATAATATTACCAAGTTGCTCTTAGTGTCCTGTAGATGCTTATTATACTTTGCATCTTTCATGTCCAAAGTGAATATGTTTTAAAATTTTATCTTGTAATTCTTGATGGTCTTATGTTTCGATATTTTGAACTAAATGTGCAAGTTACTTTATTTTTTAATTGTAACCTTTTTTCATTGAAAGTTTTGAATTGATATTCCACAGACAAAACTAATTGCCTTGAGATTCATTTTTTTTAAATATATTCTCATACTTGCATGCAGTTGTCTTATGTACTGAGTTGCGTTTTGCCATTTTGCCTTTAATTGTTGCTGCCATCACTGGTATAACGTCATTTTCTTTAATGCATTTTTCATTATCATCTTGAATGATTTATTTTCTGCTTTGTGGGAAAAATAATGAAACTGTAACTTACTTTATGCAGATAAATGGCAAACCCACGCTGATCAGTTTTATTATTAGATTTGTTCACAAATGTTCATTGAAATTACAATACTAATTTGAAGTGTTGATTCATTCGGAATTCTTGATCTTCTTCTTGCATCTTTTAAATATTTTTAAACTTGGTAATAAGATTTTTAGAACATTCAATGCTCACTGAAGAAATAATACTTGCGAGTAAACTTGAGTATATATCCATTTATAAAAAAGTAATCTTTAAATGAAATCTAATTATAAATTCATTAAAAGTTCCTTTTTGATGATAGTTTTGCTAGGTTAGTGATGTAGTTTAAAGTTTCTTTTGTCTTTTGTTTCTTGATATCTAATATTGCTCTGAGACCTCCTATTTGGGGTACTTCAATTTGTTTGGGTTTCAACATTCATATCCCACTGCCATTGTTAGTTTGACCGTGATGTTATGAAGTCTTATTTTTGTTTCTGTGTTTGTTGTGTGTTGAATGTTTTTTGATACATCTGTTAATTTTGTTATAATTTGGCTGTTCAGTTTCAAAATCATTCTCTTGTATGGTGATTTTATTTTCCAAGAATGAATAGATGGATGTCTGTTTTACTATTTTGCTTTCAATTGCAATTTTTGTCCTTGTATTTTCTTTGCATTTAAAGCATTTTGGATTAGTTTCATTGCGTATTTTCTCAGTACGTACTTAATAATTTTGTTCAGTTTGTGCATTCCTTTTTAAAGTTTCTATTTCTGATGTCATCATAATCATTTGGTCATCTGCTTAAATTATACGTCCTTATAATTCAATCAAATATTTATTTAGACCTAAGCAATGCATGAGAATGCAAGTCATCCTAAGTCTTTTAATTTAATGTCATTTGCCAATTTGATAAGCAGTGAAAAGAATAGATGCAATTTATAACATTCTACATGGCTTATTCTCTAGGCATTGATACTATCAGATTGTAGTATTAACGCTTAAGTAACATCAAATATAATATCAAATTCCAAACCTTTAATTATTGTAAGACAGTGAAATTGGATGAAGTTAGAACACTACAACTAAAGGAAGTTGGGAATCGATGATTGGAGGCTACAGTTAGTGGGGAATCTTACAGCAGGGAGAAGATGTGAGCAATGTACATATTTATAGTAAGCAAAGCATGAAAGATTTAAATAATTGTAAATATTGCTTTACTGAAATGATTTTAATGGTTTGTAATTAGTTACAATTGTGACTTAAGATTTCATCCTAGTATTCTGGTCAGAGCTCCATTATCAGTAATAGTGCTGCTGCAATCATGGTAATATTCCCCTGTGATTTTGTTTGTCAGAGTTGCTGATGTACTGTTGTTTCTTGTGCTCTTCTGATTTATTTTTTATTTATTTACGTCAAAGACAGTTTACAACCGGGTATGTCGTGCTGTGGGGAGAAGTTAATTTACATTTATATCCAGAAGCAAAACAAGGGGCCATCTCAGCATTTGCTAGAGGATCAGGGAAACGACGAAAATCTGATAAAGATGGGGGTCATTTACCCAGAAGCTGAAGTAAAATCCTTGTTACAGGTTCTTTAGAATTATACAATCCAAATGGTATATAACACATTAAATGTCATTGTTAAAATTAATATTACTTTCCATTTGGATGCTCAGTGTTGTCTCTAATTGTATAGAATCATTGTGCAGCAGAAAAGATTTTACTTGGGACTTAAAATTTTGCATTGCATCTGGCAAGGTGCATTCTTGGCTATCCGGGATGAGCCGCGTCTCGATCAATTGTGCTGACGTTTCGGCTATCGTGCTGTGTATACTGCTGAGCAATATAGCTCTAAAGAAGGCCCCAGCAAGATGGTCGAAACGTGAGCACAATTGACCGAGACGCGGCTCATCCAGGATAGCCAAGAATGCATTGACTCCGACCGCGGAACCCTACGAACCCATATAATCTGGCAAGGTGTTCTAACATAATTTACACTTATTATATGTGAATTTTTTGTAGCGAGTTGTTGTTACTGTCACCTGATGAATATGATTACTACATCGAGTGTTGTAGTTATAGACAACGGCATTTGCTGAAAATATATTCTTGCTCGTAAATCGGTCATTTTTGACAAAAACCACTGATTCACATATGAAGAGACAAGGTAATGGTAAAATACCCAGATGAATAAAGAGAGGGTTACAAAAATCACGTGGGTGGGATTTGCTTATGATTCGTACACTTTTTTGTAATCTAAAAGCCTGGGAGCTGTAAGATGTATTTCCCCAGAATATTATGCCATATCTCAGGCGGGAATGAACATTCGCGAAATATACACAACGAGCAGTGTGGAGGTTGACCGAATTTGAAAGAATTCTGAAAGCGTAGCATAAAGAACTTATTTTAGTGTTCAATTCATTTAAATGGACGTTCCATTTAAGGCTTGACTGAATTGAAAGACCTAAAAATGGTGTTACCTTAACATCAGTCAATGGCACACCGTTCAGTGAAGTGTAGAGCTGTTTATTTAAAATAAAAAAACTGCATTGAAACAGTTTTCTTTACATTTACTATTAATTTGTTATTACGGAACCAATTTGAAATATCTGATATTGTACTATTTACGGTTTCTTTATTGCAAAGAATATTCGTGTCATCTGCAAAGAGAACTGTTCTTCTGTTTTTAACCGTCGAGGGCATATAGTTTACTTATAGTAGGAAGAGAATAGGGCCTAAAGGCGATCCCTGCGGAACTCCACATGCAATTGACAAAGAATCAGAAAGATGTGTACATATAGTTCCATTATTCTAGTAAGGTATTTCTACTCTCTGAGATCGTTGTTTAAGGTACGAACATAACCAATCTAGAGCAACACCACGAATTCCATACGAAGGTAACTTCGAGAGTAAAATGTTATGATCAATAACGTCAAAAGCTTTTGAAAGATCTAGAATTATTCCAATAGGTTCTTCGTTTTGATCCATGGATAAAGCGACATATTTAAGAAAAGAAAATATGGCTATTCCCGTGAATTTTGATTTTAGAAACCCATGTTGGGAATCTGAAAACACGTGTTTACTAAAGAAAAGTTTCCATTAGTACGTAAAAAGGTCTACTTTTGAAAAAAACGGCAAAAGAGAAATTGGCCGATAATTTTGAATTTCATTTTTGTTGCCTTTTTTGAAAAGCGGCTTCATCTTAGCTGTTTTAAAAATACCTGGAAAAATTCCTGTGCGTAAGGATACATTAAATATGCGAGTTAGAGGGTGTATAATGGCGGGCGCGCCGATTCTTTTTGATTTGTTTTTGAGTGTAACGATGCACATTGAGATAAAATCGACTAATTCTTGCGCAAAAAGTCTAAAAGGGAAGTTGTAACATCAGAAATTAACATGAATACAAGTATTCTTTTATAATCAAAGCACCATTAATTCTGTTTTTATGTACAAGGTGCTGGAAGTTGGTACATCTGTAAGAAAGTTGTAAGGCGCGATTGCAATATATGTGAAAGCATAGAGTATTTTGTACCTGTTAGCAGTATTTGGGATCGTAGTAGCAATATGGATATTAATGAAGGTTAGCTTTATTACTTCTAATAAGAAAAGTAGATGTAGTTATTCACATCGCGGAATATTTGTGCCATAAACATCCTGTAACTGTTAGCGTATTTTAGTTTGTTCATGTTGACATTGGCTTATAACTAATATGCTGCCGTGCTGCGCTGAATCTATTTCTAAATTGTCATTCAACTAAAGGAGATAATGTTTTACCTAATTTTAGCTGCCGCTTTACACGAAATTTGCCTTTTCAGGCGCGAGTCGTATCAATCAAATATATCTATTCATTCAGTGGTGGTACGAAACGCGAGAATGTGCCGCTCTGGATTATATTGTCAGTGCATGTTATGTTAATTATGTCTCTGAAGACCTCTGAAAGGATTTGCAGATAAAAACAAAAGATTTTTGCCACAAACTTAATAGAAGACACGAAGGTCACCGAACTCGAAATTATGTTTAGTTACTTTTAGGTTTAGAGAATAACTATGAAGAACAGCTTAAAGGTGATCTTATGTGTATTTTTGTGCATATTAGAGAAAAATGATTCGAACCTAGCTGCATTAAGTACTTTTCGCATCATTCATTCCTGCAAGTATTTTTTACTGCGACTACAATTTTGAAATTGCAATATTACCAATTAATATACCGTATGGAGGTAACTCGCAAGATCATGGAATGTTGAAGTTTTGAACGAGAGTATCACATCAGCTATAATCTACGACGAGTCACCCTAATGCCAGAGACTAAGATCTTATTTGAAGCTATGCAAGACAATTAGCAATCTTCATCACATGAACA